TTATTCTCAAAGTAGTTTAGAAGTACGTGAAAAGATATGCTTATGTCTAGAGAAATTAGATTCAACGGTTTTTTAAACAACACGATAGGCATGAACAATCCAGTCTTTCTTTTTGCAGATGTATAGCTTAGACGGCCGTCTTTCGCTACAGAGCCTGTCGGAATACGATTCGTCCCGCAGTTGGATTGCGGAAAACGCGATTCTCACACCGACGCCACCTCCTCCGGAAGACGATAATGAAAACGTATTCTACATGGGTGTCTGCCTACCGAGGAAGTTGCTTACGATCTTCCCTGAGCCTCCTCAGCCATCCCAACCGACCATCCTCGATGATAGCATCAGATCCGAGTTGGAGACAACAGAGATCGACGAGGAGTCCAGTTCGGAATGTGATGCCGACGCCGAGCATTGTCGCACGTGTCTCATTTGCTATCACGGCAAGAATGGCAAGGACACTGGTACGGAGAAGGATATGAAATTGCGAAGGTACCGGAAATATGATCTTTTGGCAGGGTATTCGTACGTTGAGGGTAGAAGTAATATAGTTGAATGTAAACAAAAAATTGCTTATTGAAATATTAAGTTCTCTGATCACTCATCACGGATCTTCAGATTGATGACGTTAAAAAACATAGTAGAAATTCTTGCAAAATATACCGAAAATTTTCCTTTTATATTTCGAAATAGAATAAAATATTTTAATTCAACAACTGTCATATAGGTAGCTTGTTTTATCTTTTAGTATTAGACATAATTTAATTTCAATTAGATGATTATTTGTTGATTACCGAAGGGGAGTTTGCGGTATATTTTACAATTCTATCGATTGTTTTATTGAATGTTTTATTTAAAAAAAAAATATATTTTAATGTAGTTTGTAAGATTTCTTTATTTATTTTTTTCGCTTTTAACGTCACAGTCCACGATGCTGTAGTGAATAGACAGGAATCTTAAAATGAGAAATTTGGAATTATATAGTTCTTAATTAATTAAATTTTATAAAGTTTTTGTGACGTTTAAAAGTGAATGATAAAAATTTTATGAGATTTGTGTTATGTTTAATTCGGTCGTGTTTGCACAGAGAAATACTTAGACACACCCAACGACTTGCAAATCCAGTGTGGTATCGTCACAGTCGTCAATCGTTACTTAGACTGAGGCAACAGTATCCCGAGAAGTTTCAGGTATGTCATACATTTGTCGTACATTCTGTTTCTGCAGCAGCACACAGAAGTGTTCTTTACATATATTCGCTTTCTGCAGGATACCTGCTTGTTTTCGGACGTAGCTGCTCGCTTAGGTAGCGGTACGTATAGAATGCCAGCGCGGCAATTTCTGCAAGAGTTGTTTCTGGATTCTTCATTCGATGCGGTAAGTTTTTTTCCGACGCATGCTTCCATGTGTCGACTTCTATAAACGCATGACTCATGATTGTCAGCATTCACGTCAGCGTTATTTTATAGTTGGTACAACGCGTAATCGATTGAAGGAACTTTTTCTTAAAAATAAAAAGCTAAAATATGGTTGTGCGAAGAATTCGTAATTAAATTTACTTATCATTAATATGATGATATTTATGAGTTAATAACTATGTGAAACTGTCTGTTATCGGCTTCTTTTCTCTCTAAATTCATTATATTTATAAATATTATACATAAATAAAATTAAAATATTAAATATTAAAAGATTAATAAACATTAATAAATTCAATATTATTACAAATCTTATTACATTAATAAATTAAAATGTATGTGTGAGTAACTCCCTTTCTCTTTGATTGTAAGTTAATTTGTGACTTTGCAGCTCTACGTCGAACCAATCAACATCTTGAAGATTCCGATCGGCACGGAGGAGAATCCCTTGCAATCATCTGTTCCTAGCTCCGAGGCTAGTCCTCGGCAGCAATCTGTAAGTCCTGTGGAGGGCAAGATTAACGGAAGACTTACTCTGACTGAGATACAAACGACGCAACTGGCATCGGTCGCCGAAGAGAGTTCCTCGACCGGTGGCGGCGGTGACGGTGACAGCGGCAACGGTGAATCGTGCAACGTGGGGCATCAACGTAGAAAGAAGTCTCTGGAGGTCGTTCGTCCGTCACAAGAACGGCGCACCGACGAGAAGATCATAGCCGATGGAAGAGCGAATACGTTTGTCAAAGAGTTCCGATAGGTCGTTAAAAGTATCAGGTACAAACACTGCCATCAGCCTTGATTCGTAGTTTTCGAATTCTCGATCACGACTGCGCACGCGTGTGTACGCGTGTGCGTGCGTGCGTGCGTGCGTGCGTACGTGCGTGCCCGCGTATGCATGCCGTGCGTACGTTATATGCTGTGTGTACATATTTTGTATTAAAATAATAATGATATATGAAAATAATAAATTATACACGTATACACATACATTCACATACATATACACACACTGCCGGCAATCAGACGTATTCTTATGCATATTTCAACGTTTCCTATTCTTGCGCGCCTCGCGCCTATCTCTACAATTATTCATTAACCCCAGGATTACACATGCTTTTGTATACATTGGGTCTCTTATGTATTCATAGTCAGGCTTTATATTTAAAACTTCCTTAAATTTATCTTCAGATGCTCTACGAATTATTTCATTTTATTGAGCATCTAGAGATAAATTTAAGGAAGCCTTAAGTGTAAGGTCTGATTATGAATACGGGCCTTAGAGATAGCCAAATTTTTGCCAACTTTTGCCACACAAGAGATAAATAAAAGTGCAGACTTCTCAACAAATTCCTTTTCCAGGAGAATGCCACACACTATATAGCTAGAGTATATAATTATAAAATCAAAATTCAAGTCTGCTTGCAAAATATAAATATTTTAGGAGAAATGTTCAAGTAACACTGACCAACACTGACGACTGAAAACCTTTTGTTCTGTTCTCACAGACTTACGTGTGTAGTCCGCGGGTTGATGACCGATTAATTCATACTTTATATCTATATCGTATGCCCCATTGTAATCAATCGCATTATTTTTTAATGTCGCAGTCGACTCTTTTTCTTTCGTCGCGAAGACGCGACGGGACCGTGTAACGTTGCTAGTTTTATACTTAATATTACAATTTCATTTCTATTTATACATTAATTTATGTATCATGTATACGATGAAAAAAAGATGGAAAAAAGGAGCAGAATGTGTGGAATATCAACAAAGTCTATATAAATCTCGTTCCCTTCATTAGAGTTCCTGTAACAGAATCTGGCTACGAGACAAACTTTTGATTAGCCTGTTGTACTTTAGCATTTCAGCTAAAATGAGTCAAACAAGATAAGTTAGAATGAGATAGCATATAGAATAGAATTTATTCTCTTCAGCATTTACAAGGAGATTTAGTTTACAAACGTTATTTTTACCTCATTCATCCAATTATATTTTTCTCTCTCCTACTTTAAATTTTTGTCCTGCTATTCTTTTCTTATTGCATCTCTATCTCGAAATAGTATATATAAAAAGAGAAATATATACTCTTCTTTCTAACTTTTATTTTAACAAAATTGCTCATGGCCAGACTCTGAATATAGGGTGTCTACCCTCCACGCCCCCCCCAGTTTATCACGTCCCTGATATCTTTGTCGTTAATCAAGGCATCACGTTATCGACGCTACCGTCCTGAGTAGTCTGAGTTCGAGAAATCCGCCGTTAATCGGCGCAGCGATCGCCACACCGCGAATAATCCCTCTTCCGGATGTCACCGATTATTCGCGTCATTGCGCGTCGTCCATAATTATTTATCGAGAAGAGAAACGATACAAAGTCTTGCCAGCGTAAATAATTCCCGGATGACGATGACAGCGAGCTCAAAGCAAGGCTCCAAGCGGTCGAAATGGGCCCTAGACTTTGCGCACAGGTACGTAACCTAATTGGCACATCTACGAGTACACGTGTCGATTTGACGTATTTAAATTGTCGACGTTAGCGAGCTACTCACGTATTAAATATTAACGTCCGCTCTTTTTCGACGTGACCTTTGTAGTATCTGCACTCAGAGAAAAATGTCTAAAACGCAGACAAAACGTCCTGAAGACATCATTAAATCATCATGTTTTGATGTCTTACACCTTCTTTGAACTTGTCTGAGTATCTTCCTACTCGAGCCTCGATTAAATAGCCTTTAAATAGCTGCCACTGGGAAAAAAAACCCAGATGTACCGTCTGACATTTTCATAAATAATTAATTAGTAAACCAAACATTCTTTTTACAGAACGAAACAAGACAAAAATGTGGAGATACCGTCTCCACCAGGGTACACACCTACCGGTGGCCTCTTTCACAATGTCGAGTACATGAGGGAGTCTGATTCTAATCTCCTGATAATAAAGAAGTCGTGGGACCTGGCTTTGGGGCCCCTCAAACAAGTACCCATGAATCTGTTTATCCTGTACATGGCTGGTAGCTCCGTTTCGATATTCCCCATCATGATGGTCGGTATGCTCATCATCAAGCCAGTCAAGGCGCTGTTCACCCTCCAACAAAGTGAGTTGATTTGAAATTGTAAATGCTGAAGGCATAAATCTTCGACACCGCTCTATAATCACATGCTTCCTCTGCTCAGCGTTCAAAGTGATCGAAGGTACGCACGCGTGCGGACAAAAGTTCGTGTACTTCCTAGGACAATTAGTGAATATCGCGTTAGCTCTGTACAAGTGTCAGTCGATGGGCCTGCTGCCGACGCACGCGTCCGACTGGCTGGCATTCGTCGAGCCTCAGACAAGATTGGAGTATTCCGGTGGAGGTTTCATGTACATTTGATGCAAAGGGGTCGGTCAGGCGGCATTGTAAGTATTTGGCATACGCGGCCACGTGAATTATAGCTAAATTATACTGCAAGGACGTACGTGTCATGCATTTAAGTATTGTTTATTAAAATAAATGTATGGAAAAATAAGAGTGACTTGTCTTTGTACATTGCATTGAGTACTATATACACAGGTATATATCGACGTTTCCTTGAGAGCTATAATGTTACATTTACATCATATTACATCGATAATAGCATATCCGTCTTCTAGTATTGGAAGTGGTTTTAGAAATATACATTGCTATGGTTATACTATGGCTTTTTTTTATTTTCTTCTAGAAACTGAAGTACTCGCTGGTACAGTTTTGCTGGTTCATCCACCCGTGGCACCTATGGCAAAGATTAGCTTTAAACATTTACTTAATAGGTACAAATCTTGCTTTATATAATTTTCAATTTGGATTAATTTAAAGAAGATAGTAGATGCGATCGATAAACAAAGTTTAAGTATCGTTTATACGTGAAGAATCAGTAACGATTTATGTATATTTATTTTGTCATATATAAACCAATTAAAGTTGCAAAAGCATTTCTTATCTTATTGAATTTGCGTACCTCGTAATTTTGGGCTATGTATATTCCGGCGTATACTCCAATACTCAGACTGATCTGCAAATTATTAGAAGAAAGTTACAAACGAAATGGTCCTCGAAATCGCGAGAGTTGCATGTTTTTACATACCAGGAACCGAAGCATATTGAGGGTTCTCAAAACAGATTTAGTCAACACGAAAATTTTGCTCGTTGACGTTCGCGAAATATCGCTAAACATTCAGGTGGAAGTGCTTCTTCTTCTTCGAGTGGATTTGGCCCTCACCTCTAGTATTAACGGCGATTCAGACCAGAACAGACACTCGGATGGAGATGCACTGACGTACGCTGGAACACGAAGCATTAAACATGCGCGAGCATGATAAGAAACAGGATGGAAAGCTATCACTGATAGTTACAAAGTTAACCAAACTGAAAATCACTAGTGATCCTGATAGGCTATCAGAAAAAGTGAAATTTTTTACTAAGTTAATGAAGAAATTTTTCACTTTTCATCCCAGGGAAAAAATTCCATGATTGATATCCAGAATTAAAAGATAAAAGTTGCGCCCCTCTCATCTCCAGTTAAAACGAGCATCAGAAATAACTAGATCTAGTTACAAAGTTAACCAAACTGAAAATTACTAGTGATCCTGATAGCCTATAAGGACTTTCTAGTGATTTTCAGTTTGGTTAACTTTGTAACTAGATCTAGTTATTTCTGATGCTCGTTTTAACTGGAGATGAGAGGGGCGCAACTTTTATCTTTTAATTCTGGGTATCAATCATGGAACTTTTTCCCTAGGATGAAAAGTGAGATTAATAAATTAAACTGTTTACACTTCTATAAATAATAATTTTATATATAAATAACATGAAGATATATATAATAGGCTTTTTACAATAAGTCATTATAAGTTTTAAGTTATAAGAAATTGATCAATCACAGTCAAATGTGTGAGAAGAATAATCGATTATAGTTGGTCAATTTCTTATGACTTAAGATTTAAAGATTAGGTAATGGCTTATTATAGAAAGCCCATAAAATTAAAGGCGATTAATGTTATTTTACGGCTGAGGAAATGTTGTATATAACAGAGCTATTGGATTTTATTACGTACAATTTGCCTTCAAAATATATGTATAATATTATGTTGAGAGTAATAACGTAATACATCACAAAGACAGAGAAGAATCCTTAGCTTGATCTAATAAATTTGTGGATTTTTTTATAAAGAGATAATATTGGTATGTATGATCTACTTCTTAAAAGAAATAATTATTTTCTTATAAGAGATTCATTTATATGTATTCAAGGTCAGTATCGCTTAATAAACTACAAAAGTAAGACCTTTATAATCTAAGAGATTTTTGTCGCAAGAGTGACGTATTAGTGACTGATAAAAAAAAACACAAAAATTCTAGTTGTATCCAAAATAGTTCTGAATCGTTTATAATAAAAATCAGAGAAGATTCAAAATTTGAAGATTAAGAATTGCAAACATGAGTTCATATTTATGTGTGTGTGTGTGTGTATGTGTGTGTACGCGGATGATCTAATAACCATCTTCGTCATCTTCATCCATGGCGAAGTCACTACCAACTCCGGAATCTGGCACGTAGAGAGGGCTGCGAAACAAAACGGATAAATCGCATTACAAATTGAAAAAGAAAAAAAGAAAGACAAAATGTATCCCTTTTCTAGAAACTTACTTTATCGCTCTGCACGTGAAAAATACGATGCGCTTCAGCTTTTTATTGTAGAAGAAATAATTGAAGGACCACAGACATCCGTCTTCTCCAAAAGGATCTGACGCGAAGTCTGGATTGTAACTGTAAAACGTTTTCTTACATTATTTCGTATTATTCTTACTTAAATAATTCTACACTTACTCTCCTACTTGATGCCATAGAACATTTAATTCAGTGTTCAGGATCTGTGTGTACCTTCTACTTTTTGTTTATATTAGGGCAAGATGATCGTGAACAATTGGATATTTACCTGTAAATATCACACCCGTGCAACGATATCTCTTTGTCAACAGCCGCCCAAAGAGCGGAACGTAATGATCGATAATGATCGCCCGCAGTAGCGTTGAGATTACCATCCACCGCGTTCATTACCCACTGTAGGCTTGGTTCCTTACTGAACTCGTGGCTCTTAGCGTCTGAGAAATCGTAGTCCGGGTTAAAGGTTGAATTCAACGTGGCGATCAGATAAAATAACGTTTTCTTGCTGATCGTGTCGCACAGCGGACCCTCTTCGTCGCCGGAAACGCTACGACTGTAAAAGGAAGACGTATTGTGATACTAGTGTTATCAAGTTGTGCCTAAGGCTAATCAGTTCTCATTTAAAACCGTCTAAGTAAGTTTTAAGATATCATAAACCAATCACAGACTGGTATTCATAATGCGTTCTGATTTTAATGGGTGATATTTGTAGTCCATCTTAAATAATGTTCTTAAAATATTAATACTTCTGATTGGTTTATGACATCTTAAGACTGTACTTAAGACAGTCTTAGATATAAGAATCGACTATGAATACCGGCCTAAGACTTATTTTAAGTACCATCTTAAGTAATGTCTCATGAAGTTTCTACAATAAGTCATTACCTATGTAAGTCTTAAGCCATAAGAAATTGATCAATCATTATTCTTCTCACATTCGACTGTGACTGATCAATTTTCCACGACTTAAGATTAAAGCTTAAGTAACGATTTATTGTAGAACGCATATCAAGATGCTAATATAGATCCTAATTAGCGTCTTAAGACATTACTTAAGACGATCTTGTAATAAGAACTAATACCGACTTAAGCTGGAAACACAATGGACACAGGCAACAGACACAGGCAACAGACACAGGCAACAGGGAATAACGAGCCATCCAATCAGAGCTCTGGGATATAATATCGAATTTATATTCCAGAGCTCTGATCGGACGGCTCGTTATTCCCTGTTGCCTATCACTGCTTTCCATTTGATGACAAATCGACACAAATCGACACAAACGTCGTTCTATCCTTCTTGACATTCAGAGAGTGACAAAGATAGAACTTGTGTCGACTTGTGTCGATTATGTCTCCTAAAAGGAAAGCAGTCTATGCCTATTGCCTGTATCTATTGTGTTTCCAGCTTTAAGTATACACATGCAAGAGATAACTTAATGTTTCAACTAAATTAACTAAAATTCCTACAAATATAGATTAATAATAGGTATCTTTCGAAAATACCTCAAGCATCCCTGAGCCGGAGACGTTCCCAAAGATGTCTGTGGTGGTGATAAAGCTTGTAGATCATGCGGCGTACCACCCTGCTCCGCGTTGTACCGTTTGTACATTTGCTTGTCGTTGGCTGTCATTTTGCAAGAGTAACTCTCAATCCTGCAATGATAAAGATGCAATATAAATAATAACAAAATGGTTCAAGATAATAGATGCTTCCCACTTATGCCTGTTTCTACCAATGTAGATTAACTTTAATCTCGATTTATCTTTCCATCTTTTTTAATCCTTAGAATTCTCCGTTTCTTGGTAGAAACACATACCAATGTAGATTAACTCTAATCTCGGTTCAATTTGCTCTTCATCTTTTTCTAATTCTTAAAACTAGAAAAACATAAACAGTTGAACTAAGATTAAAATGAAAGACTATATATTGGTAGAAATGGACACAAAATGAAGAGTAAGTTAAAGTCAATCAACATTGGTGACATTAGTGATACAAATCGACACAAACATCATTCTGTCTTTCTTGACATTCAACGAGCAACAAAGACAGAGCAACACTTATGTCAAATGGAAAACAGTCGTAATAGAATGAATTTAAGTATAGCCTCCATTTGCGTTACCTCCCGATTATCTTGCTATCTCCGGTCTTGATGGACAAGGCACTGTTTATAGCTTCCAAATGGGTATTCTCCAGCAGCTTCATCCTGCTGATAACGGCGATCTTTCTGGTTACACTGTAAACTGTGGCTCCTGCCTTGGAGTGCTGGAAACTGGCGTTATTGTCAGTATCTCCCGGTCAATTGGGCTTACCCGGCTTACAACGTTGACATCTCGTGACTCTTGGAGCCCTTGTCACTCGCTGTCCAGGCGATTCTAGATACGTTTTTTGCTCAGATTCTCAAGGGCTAGGCCGTTCAGTACAAGCGAAATGTCAAGAAGCTTCTATAACTCCTTTGACTTATCGGGTTGCTGAACATCTCTTTTATGTGTATGAAAATTCCTTTCCTTTTCGAGTGGACGAGATTAATTGTCGACGTAGTGGTCTTCCCGGCTTCCTTGCTGTACTTGCACATTACAGATAGCTAGTTAAGGATTTGGGGGAAGGTGATCGAGTTCCAGAGCGGGCTTTGTTGAACGCGAGATCAAGGCCCTTCACTCCCCTGAAGAGTACACAGGTGAGTACTAGTCCCTTACGTGCGCTGCCCCGCTTTGATAGAAGCCGGAGTGAAAGAGAAAGACAGAGAGAGAGAGAGAGAGAGACACGGATACACGGGAGAGAGCGAGAGACAGAGCGATGACGCGACGCGAGACGCGACGAATCCACCGATAAACAAAGGTGCGCTTCTCGCTTCGAGATTACTAGAGACTGAGCTCTGGAATAAAAATTATCGTCTCTCCGGCGAAGGCCGCGCGAACGAACGCACACACACACACGCACACACACACACAAGGGCGGAAGGACAACTTCTCGCGGTGTTCTTCGGATTGACAGGAGACGTCAGATTTCAGCCTCTGGCTGCTTTCTTCTCGCTCGGAGGAAAAAGTGCGAGAGAGAGGGATATATATATGTATGCCGAGAAAGACACAATGCCTCACGCGTAGCGCCCGCTACTGACGATAACAATCCATAATCACGGACATTGTCGCTTCGCTGTGGCTGATATCACTGTCACTGTAGGGAACGATATACGCCTCCTCCTGAGAAACACTTGTCGATCTCGTCGAACGCGTCTCCTGCGAAACACAATCCCCTGACAACGCACTCGACCTTCCTCGCGCGCGAGCTCGACCAGTTTACCAACTCTAAACTCTAATTGCGACTCGGTGTCAGCCCGCGTTCACCGCACACATAAGAGACGCGCCAACGACGTATGCGTGTATATGTACGCTCAACGGGACTCACGTACGTACGCAGGAGCTCGTGTGAGTGCGCGTGTGCCCCACGTACGTGACAGAAATAGCAATAGCAGCAGCGGGGGGAGGGGAGGTGGTTGCGAGGGAGACCGCGGGGAGACGTATCGTATCGCTCTCTCGCTCGCTCGAATGGCTTCGGCCTCCCTCGGTCTCGCTCGTGCGCTCTCGCCGCGCCAGTCGGTGGGGGAGGCACGCGTTCCCGCAGCCAATCGCGTT